AGGTTAACACTATTTTGCCTATTTACTAATTGTAATCCCATAGGCTATGAGAAAGCAGCATAAGCCAAGAAATGGAGGAGTGCCATGAATGATGCAATTGAAAGAAATGGAACATGAGAACTTGCCACACTTCCTAGAGGACAACAGACCATTGAAGTGAAGTGGGTATACAAGACAAAAAAAAAGTCAAAAGTGAAGAGGAGAGGTACAAAGCAAGATTGGTTACAAAAGGCTATAGTCAAAAACTGGGTATTGACTATGATGAGGTATTTGCACCCGTTGCTCATTTAGAAACAATTAGCCGCTCTAAATGATTGGAAAATTCATCAAATGGATGTAAAGTCCTTTTTTGTTTTTTGAATGGTTTTCTTTATGTAGAGGTGTATGTTGAACAACCCTTAGGTTATGTTGTGAAAGGGCAAGAAGTGGAAGTCTTGAAATTAAATAAGGCTTTGTATGGTTTGAAGCAAGCACCAAAGGCTTGGAATAGTAGACTTAACAAGTACTTTCAACCTAATATTTCACCAAGTGTCCTCATGAACATGTTCTTTATGCAAAGGTGAATGATAATAGTGATATACTCTATGCTTGTTTGTATGTGGATGACTTGATCTTCACAGAAAATTGTCCAAGAATGTTTGAAGATTTCAAGAGAGCAATGGCTAAATAATTTGAGATGATCGACATTGAGCTTATGTCATACTACTTTGGCATTGAAGTGAAGCAAATGAAGGAAGGCATTTTTATCTCTGAAGAAGTTTATGCTAAAGCAATTTTGGAAAAATTCAAGATGGAAGATTGTAAGCCGGTATGCACACCCATTGAATGCGGTGTAAAATTGTCAAAATATGAAAATGGAGAGCATGTGGATTACACCCATTTCAAGAGCCTAATGGAAAGCTTGAGGTACTTAACATGCACATGGCCGGATATTCTTTTTGGTGTTAGTTTTGTAAGTCGCTATATGGAAGCTCCTATCATGACCCATTTGAAGGTGGCGAAAAAAATTCTTAGTTACATTAAATGTACACTTGATTATGGATTGCTATATTCTTGTTCTAAAATTCCAAGCTTACGGGTTATTGTGATAGTGATTGGGTCGGAGATATGAATGATAGAAAAAGCACTACTGGGTATGTTTTTTTCATGGGAGATACCACCTTTTCTTGGAGTTCAAAGAAGCAACTCATTGTGACTCTTTCAACTTGTGAAGCCGAGTATGTGGCGGCTGCATCATGTGTTTGTCAATCCATTTGGCTTAGAAATTTGTTGAAGGAGCTTCATTTGCCTCAAGAAGAATCGACGAAGATCTTCATTGACAACAAATTGCTACTAGCGTTGACAAAGAATCCGGTGTTTCATGATCGTAGTAAGTATATTGACACAAGATTCCATTTTATTAGAGCGTATGTGACCAAGAAATAAGTGGAGCTCAGGTTTGTGAAGTCTCAAGATCAAATTGCCGATATTTTCACTAAGCCCCTCAAAAAGGATATCTTTCACAAATTGAGAAGTTTGTTTGGAGTTGAGAAGAAAAATCATGTTTAAGGGGGGAGGGTGTTGGAAAAAATAATATTAAACATGAATTTTCATGTGTTTAGGAGTTATTTTTATGCATTTATTTTTTTGTATTAGTGGGTCATCAATTTGGTATTAGTGGGGGACAAAGTAATGGAGGAGTGAGGTCTTTATTATTTTTATTATTGTATTATGTAGTGGGGTTATTTTGTATGTCATGTGTTATATATGAGAGTCTATATATATCCTATGTAATACATCAATTTGAATATGAGTGAATAGAAAGAGTTTTTACAATCTTCACTAGTCTCTTCCATTATATTTTTATGAGTGTGTGATAGTCCTCTAGATTCCAACACTCACTTATCCTCCGTTTCCATTATAAGATGAGCTCATATCAAATTGTATAAGCCAAGGAAAGTGTTTCCAATCCGTTGCTCCTAGTAGTCTCGATACTACTTTTGTAGCCTAATGTAATCCCTCTCATAGGAAATACTACAATAATGGCAGAGATCACCAAGGCCACTGTCCAAACCAATCTGGTGGACTTCACCATTATGGCCCTTCCTCTTGCCGCCATTCTTCTAGTAGCCAATCTTCAAAGTTCAATGATTCATCTAAATGTGAGTACCCACCTCGCCCCACTACATCAGCATCATATTCTAATTGTCAAATATGCGGCAAACTAGGTCATAATGCTCTTAATTGTTGGCATCGATTCAATCACACTTATTAGTCTCTGACTATTCCTTCAGCCCTCTCAACTCTATCCATAGCTTACCTAGGGGATCCTAGTTCGTATCCTAACAGTGGCGCTGCGTCCCATATCAACTGGAAATTTAGGTAATTTCACTACTCTCCATCTATGTCATTTTCATGAGAAAGTTTTGTGGGCAACAGTGTTATCTTAGAGGCTACTCACAAAGGATATATTCTTCTTTCTTGTAATGAGCTTGACCATCTCCTACATAATGTTTTTCTAGTTTCGAGAATACAAAAGAATTTATTATTTGTCAATCAAGTATTAGATGATAATTCTTTTTCTTTGGAATTCTCAGCCTTTGGTTTCTTTATCAAGGACTGCAAGAAATAGACACTTCTGATGACAGGTCATAAATTGGGGGGTCTTTACACTTTTCCAAATAAATTAGTCTCCTTGATGGCAATTTATCCATTTTCTCCGAGCACAATAACTGTTGAAGTTTGGCATCAACGTCTCAGCCATCCTTCATTTCGGACACTCAAGACATTACGATAGCTTTCTTTAATTTCGTTTGATTCATGTAGTTTTAATAATCACCCTTGTGGTTGCTGTCAGATTGGGAAAGGATGTTGATTACTTTTCACTTTAAGTGATTCAAAGTGTAATAAAGAATTTTTTTGAATTCATTCAGATGTTTGGGGTCTGACTCCTATTAAATCTATTTCTAGATTTCAATATTATGTTATATTTGTGGAGGATGCCACCCGCTATATTTGGTTCTATCCTTTAAAGAACAAATCTAATGTCCTCTCCTGTTTTTTTTTTTTTTTTTTTGCTTTTGAGAAAATAATTGCCAATACTTTTTATGCTCGTGTGAAATTTTTTATGAGCAATGGTGGTGGTGAACTTAAATCAGGAACATTTGATAAATTTTTGGCTAATAAAGGAATTGTTTGCCAATTATCCTGTCCTCGCACATCTCAACAAAAGGGGGTGGCCGAGTGCAAGTATCAACATATCACAATTGACTTGATCTGAAATGTGTACACCCAAGTGCAGGTGGTCAAGCTGTAGTAATAATTCGGTTAAGTCTGGAGCCCAATCCACAGGGAACTATGATTGGTGTTTTGAAGTGAGCAGTGATAGAGACCAAGTAACTGAAAACCTTGAGAGTTTGAAGCTATGAGATTTCATGAATAGAATATAAGATTCTTTCTAAGAGTTTTCTAAACAAAATATAAGATAAATTCAAATGTAAACAGTCACTCTTTAGTTCAAGGATCATAACATGTAGTTAATCATCTGGTTTATTATACTTGTGTTTTATAACTCAATTAACTCCTACGTCAAGAGCAAGTTAATCGAAAGATAAAGATGGAGTGTGAAATAAGCACATAGTTCCGACGCCTATCTAGAAGTTTACAAGAATTGTTTGTGCCGAGACTCAACCCATCTATAAACAAGCAAATGTTTTTACAAGTAATCCAACTATGGCACTAATGTTCCATTCTTTAAATAAAACACAATAATGTTGAAGATTAAAATGTTGTCATATAGGTCTAGCCGGGGTAGTTGCCTTGAACCAATGGGTCTTTTTATGCAAGAGTCATCCGTGACACAGAAAGAACCCAGGGTTATACAAAATACCTATTATTTGCTAGATGCATTCAATCGTTTACTAAGCAAGTGAAATATAAATCATTAAAGCATAAAGAAAATGCACAAATATAACTTTCGGATAATTTATACATATTCATCACCTCTTACTAAAGGGTGAATGAGGAACTACTCAATCTTCATGGCTTTGGTAAAGTTAGAAAAGTGAGTGATACTCTTCCCTCTAAGTAGAGGAGTTACAATGTAAAAGCACAATAAACAAAAAGTCGATCTTCAACGAAGAATGAGTAAATCACGTCTCACCCTTCACGGCTTTGGTAAAGCTCTAGAAAAATGGAAGAGTTTCACTCATCTATGAAAGAAAGAAGATCAAGCAATGGAAGTTAAAAAAATGAACGATGAAAGTAGAAGAAAGCTAGCTTAAAAAGCTGATGGACAATCAATCTTGAGAATGCTGACAGATTTTAAACTGTGTGAAGAAGCTAGTCAAAATAGAGCATGTTTTGAAAATTTCAATATTACAAAAGGTAATTGGTAGAGTTATAGCCATTTCTATGGTGATCCATCACAACATGAAAAAAGATAAAGATAAAGATAAAGATAACAATAAAAGGCATCAAGAAAAAAACAAATCTTGAGTCGATAAAAAGCTTAATTGGCTGAAAATCCCTCTAGCTTAGTTGTTGCTGCTCTTTTTGGAGTAGGGGGTGGTAAATTTCTCTATGCTTAAAAGTAATTCTCAGCTATCCTTGTCAAACCATTTCCTTAAAAGTAATTCTTTGCTTTTTCTATGCTTCCTATATGTTTTTCATTTCTAGAACTTGCTTTATATAAGATGATTTGCCATAAGATTTCTGGCACCAAAAATCTATCAAATTCAGTCAAACCAAAGTAGTTGCGACAAGATCATTACCAGTCAACAAACTCATGTAATATTTGAGCTACTATTCCATTTCTTGACTCACCTGACTAAATGAAGATGCTCTAGAATGACATCGAAACTCTGTGTCTCACATTGTCGGACACAAACATCTGTGTTTTTGCGAGCTGGTTCCGGAATAGGCATACCCATTGCAAACATTTGAATGAGAAAAACCTCAAATTGTCTTTGTTGAGCCTCAAACTTAGCTTCCATCTGACTCATTTGCTTCTCCATTTGTGCCTACTGAGCCTCCATCTCTAACAACTTAGCCTTTATCTCTGCCTTATGTCTACTCAGTTGCTCATCTATTTGGGACTGCATTGCTTGCATCTCTTCTGATTTTTTATGTCCAAATACATCTCTCCGAGATGGTCCAAGACCATATGTTCTAACATGTCCAGGTCGCTCCGGTCCCATGACTTGAGTGAAAACTTCATCTATTGTAGATGAAGATTGCATAGAAGACTCTAACATTTGTGACACAAGTTCATCCATGTCTGACTATAGAAAAAAATAATTTCAAATAAATATGAAACATAGGCGAAACAAGAATGGACAAATCGTGAACATCTTTCTTGCCAATTTTACATACCAAGGCTTGTGCAACAACATCATTAACTGGTCGACCATCTTTCTTTGAATATGCAACCTTAAAAAATTTAATACGACTCATTTTCTTCCCATTATTATTTTTCTTTTCCTACAGTTAAAATAGACACAATAAATAAACTTGAATAAAAGTATTTTATAAGATAAATTTGTTTTCTAACAAACCCTTTCCATAACACATGCCAAGCTTGTTTGGCCAGTGGTGTGATAAAATTTTTTCTTGCTCTGAATGAGTTTGTTCCTCTCACTTTTTTCCTAATACATGTCAAAATCAATTATCATAAAAATTTGAAGAAAAAGAGAAATGACTTCTTGTAGAATTGACATGATTTACACTTGCATATTTGTACCTGTGCCTTTGGAGTGCTCCAATAATAGACCAAAGCTCGCCAATGTGATTCCTCCACTCAGCCAGGCTTGTGAGGTAATCTTTCTACATCAGTTGTATAGGGAAAATAAGCTTGTTTCTTAATCCACACTTCTAGTCTTTCCACTTGCTCCCTATATACTTCATTAGATATCCTTTCATCCACTCTTTTGCATCAGTGCTTGCCTATAATTCCATTCAAAAACCACTAATAACATGCAAAAGCTATATATAATCACTTAGTAACTATTAAAGAATTTCAAAAATTTTCACATTTATTTCATCTCATATTCTTTTTTTATACTCGTTGGGAACAACACGCCACTCGTGCCAATTTAAGGGTGTCATGGTCCCATTTCAAGCTATCATGCCTAAACGAGATTGAAGTGGAGAAGCTTTTTCACCAATTGGTTGTTTTAATTCATTTTCGTCAATGTGTAGCACATTGTTTCCATGCGTCGAGTTAGGACCTCTAGTTCGTCTCTGTATAGAATTCGAGGAATTGGAACCTACACTTAAAAAAAATTGTTGAGTGATTACAATATCATGTTTAGTGATTATTATTACTATCTATTCCTTCATTACTAAAATATACCATCGTCGTTGCGTGATGAATTGTCATCATCGCCTAGTGATTGGCTACAAGATGGATGGTTGGTACTAAAACCTGAATTATAAATACTTAAATTATTAAACATATAATTGTATGCACAATATCAAATTGTGAGAAAAACATAATCTACAACCAAATGATGTACTTGGGAGGCTAGAAGTAGGGTGCCACCATGATGGTGGTTCTGGAATCATCTACACATTCTCCACCATAACAAACTATGAACCATTTATGAATATACAAGAGTTTGGAAGTGTGTCATCAAGATACAAAGACTAAGTAGTTTCATGATATTAAAAGAGAGCTCGAAATTTTACATTGCAATGAAAATCCAAAACAATTAAATGTAAAAAGTCTCAGGATATTAAAAAAAAACAATTCATATATCATTCATCATCATAACTATGAACTGTGGTTCCAACAGCACCTTGTCTAACCTAGACCATGTTGTTGTCATCATGATCGATAACAGTTTCATCTAAATCTTGTTGCTCATATTCTTTCACATGGTTATGCTGTATCCTAGCATCTTCTCTTGGTTATTGTCCATAGACTTCAAATAAATCTCTAGGTTTCACCTTGATGACTATTTTCTAATCTCCTTCAATGGGATCTTGTACATAGAATCAGTTAGTCAAGAGTTTTCCAAACAAGAGAATCAGTTGGATGTCTTGGTACCCCATTATTTGTTTGATCTGTTGCATGCCATTTCATCAATAATGTTGCTTTTGATGACATAAACAATCTCTGAAATCTCAGTATTAAAGGAAAATACCTTACAACTTTTTACGGTATTTTTTGCTCTCCAATATTTATTTCATCTCCTTGGCCATCAATTTATTTATATCTAGATGTTAAATGGTAATTTCTGGGATTTTTTAGAAAATTTCAAAAAACTATGGATTTTTATGAGAAATTATGTGAAATGGTGGAAAGGTAATTTGAGGATTTTGTAATAAAAAATATGCTGATGTTATCAAATTTTAACAATCTATCANCCATGACTTGAGTGAAAACTTCATCTATTGTAGATGAAGATTGCATAGAAGACTCTAACATTTGTGACACAAGTTCATCCATGTCTGACTATAGAAAAAAATAATTTCAAATAAATATGAAACATAGGCGAAACAAGAATGGACAAATCGTGAACATCTTTCTTGCCAATTTTACATACCAAGGCTTGTGCAACAACATCATTAACTGGTCGACCATCTTTCTTTGAATATGCAACCTTAAAAAATTTAATACGACTCATTTTCTTCCCATTATTATTTTTCTTTTCCTACAGTTAAAATAGACACAATAAATAAACTTGAATAAAAGTATTTTATAAGATAAATTTGTTTTCTAACAAACCCTTTCCATAACACATGCCAAGCTTGTTTGGCCAGTGGTGTGATAAAATTTTTTCTTGCTCTGAATGAGTTTGTTCCTCTCACTTTTTTCCTAATACATGTCAAAATCAATTATCATAAAAATTTGAAGAAAAAGAGAAATGACTTCTTGTAGAATTGACATGATTTACACTTGCATATTTGTACCTGTGCCTTTGGAGTGCTCCAATAATAGACCAAAGCTCGCCAATGTGATTCCTCCACTCAGCCAGGCTTGTGAGGTAATCTTTCTACATCAGTTGTATAGGGAAAATAAGCTTGTTTCTTAATCCACACTTCTAGTCTTTCCACTTGCTCCCTATATACTTCATTAGATATCCTTTCATCCACTCTTTTGCATCAGTGCTTGCCTATAATTCCATTCAAAAACCACTAATAACATGCAAAAGCTATATATAATCACTTAGTAACTATTAAAGAATTTCAAAAATTTTCACATTTATTTCATCTCATATTCTTTTTTTATACTCGTTGGGAACAACACGCCACTCGTGCCAATTTAAGGGTGTCATGGTCCCATTTCAAGCTATCATGCCTAAACGAGATTGAAGTGGAGAAGCTTTTTCACCAATTGGTTGTTTTAATTCATTTTCGTCAATGTGTAGCACATTGTTTCCATGCGTCGAGTTAGGACCTCTAGTTCGTCTCTGTATAGAATTCGAGGAATTGGAACCTACACTTAAAAAAAATTGTTGAGTGATTACAATATCATGTTTAGTGATTATTATTACTATCTATTCCTTCATTACTAAAATATACCATCGTCGTTGCGTGATGAATTGTCATCATCGCCTAGTGATTGGCTACAAGATGGATGGTTGGTACTAAAACCTGAATTATAAATACTTAAATTATTAAACATATAATTGTATGCACAATATCAAATTGTGAGAAAAACATAATCTACAACCAAATGATGTACTTGGGAGGCTAGAAGTAGGGTGCCACCATGATGGTGGTTCTGGAATCATCTACACATTCTCCACCATAACAAACTATGAACCATTTATGAATATACAAGAGTTTGGAAGTGTGTCATCAAGATACAAAGACTAAGTAGTTTCATGATATTAAAAGAGAGCTCGAAATTTTACATTGCAATGAAAATCCAAAACAATTAAATGTAAAAAGTCTCAGGATATTAAAAAAAAACAATTCATATATCATTCATCATCATAACTATGAACTGTGGTTCCAACAGCACCTTGTCTAACCTAGACCATGTTGTTGTCATCATGATCGATAACAGTTTCATCTAAATCTTGTTGCTCATATTCTTTCACCTGGTTATGCTGTATCCTAGCATCTTCTCTTGGTTATTGTCCATAGACTTCAAATAAATCTCTAGATTTCACCTTGATGACTATTTTCTAATCTCCTTCAATGGGATCTTGTACATAGAATCAGTTAGTCAAGAGTTTTCCAAACAAGAGAATCAGTTGGATGTCTTGGTACCCCATTATTTGTTTGATCTGTTGCATGCCATTTCATCAATAATGTTGCTTTTGATGACATAAACAATCTCTGAAATCTCAGTATTAAAGGAAAATACCTTACAACTTTTTACGGTATTTTTTGCTCTCCAATATTTATTTCATCTCCTTGGCCATCAATTTATTTATATCTAGATGTTAAATGGTAATTTCTGGGATTTTTTAGAAAATTTCAAAAAACTATGGATTTTTATGAGAAATTATGTGAAATGGTGGAAAGGTAATTTGAGGATTTTGTAATAAAAAATATGCTGATGTTATCAAATTTTAACAATCTATCAAACGGACCTTGATGACAAGAGATCTAGGGGTTACGTATGCATATACCTCAAGGAGTTCTAGTGTTATTTGTCAAATTTTAGAGGACTATCTAATTAAGTGATAAACGTCCGGGTGTCTGAATATAATTTAACTTTATATTAGCGATTTTGCATTGTTTGACTAAATAAATTTTTTTACGAGATAGAAAGCTTGGCTTGTGGAATGCCATGAACCTTTTTTATAATTTGGGAATACAAAGTATGCATATTATTACACTACGGTTCTCAATCTTTCAATTATGTCAGTTTAGGTCATAAAGTTTGTAATTTGACACTAAAGGATTCAATTTAAAATGATGATGTAAAATTTATATATATATATATAATAAAACACATTCCAACTTGAATTTTTATCCCATACATATTTTTCCTCTTAAAAATATCATATCACTTATTTCTCTCACATGTCAATCATTCAATATTTAATTAATTTGTAGTTTAACATAATTTTTATTTTAAACATATTGAAAAAATGTTAAAAATGATAGTATATATATATTAAAAAATTTAATATAGTGATAATAAATTTTTGGGAATTCAAATTTTATATTTCATTATGCCTTCAAGAACGAGTTATGATTAGTATATATATACATTAGCTAGTTTAAACTCGAGGAATATTGAAAAGTTTCAAAGATAAGATGACAGTTGAAATAATAGGCAACAAAGTAAAGCAGAGATTTTAATTTGGGGACGGATACATGATTTCTTCTTCTTTTTTTTCTTTTTTTGGGCTATAAAATGTGCGGTCTTATGATTTCTAATGCAGTGAAGGAAAATGTGGCATCTAACAGTATAATTAGAAAGGTAAAAAGGTATATGGAATATGGAGGTGTAACAGTTTAAAGAAAAGTTGGATGGGATTCAGAGAAAA